GAATACAATAAATTGGATTTTTAAAAATCTGTAAAACCAGTAACTGATAAAAATTTTATTTTTTTCTATAGAATTATGTCTAAACTTTTTTAAATGATATACTCTGTTTTTTTCATCAAAATTAGAAAAATTTATGTTTTATTTTGTTTAAAAGACATGTTATTATACTCAAGCAAATAAAATTTTAAATTATATGATTTTCTAAAAAAATTAAGTAATTTCTGTTGATTTATATAAATATTTAATGTAATTTATGAGAAATATTGATTGTTACATATAAATAAAATGTTGTAGTTAGCTAAAGTAATCAATTGTGCATATTTTAGGTGTTTTCTATCTAGGGTAAACTGGACCTGCACCGCGGTTCTAGTGTTAACTGTAGAATTTTAGAATCTCGTGAAAAATTGCCTGATTTAAACACATTAAAAGTTAATTACTAGAAGAATCTAAAAGTCGCCTGTTTAAAGAGCAGGCAAGCAGCCAAATGCGAGATGTGTTAGTTACTAAATATCATGGCAACACAAACAAGAAAAATCTCACAAAGCATCAGAATGTAGACAAAATAAAAGTAAAAAATCCTAATCAAGAACCCACTAAACCAAGTTGTTCTCTCAGCACTGTAAATGCAACCCTAGAATTAGAAACACATAATTTGAACTTTTATTCAGAAGCATCTGTACACATATGCAATAACAAATGTAAATTCACATCAAAAACTGAAATAAAAATTAGCGTCTGATGAATTTTTAGAAGTCAAAGGGAAAGTTCAAAATTATGCAAGTGTCTATTCAACTTCATATCACATTTACCAATGCATTATATGTTTGTTCGCAATCCAAAAATGAATTTAATTTCAGTAAATTTAGTAATGCAACATAAATGTACTGTCAACTTTAGAAATAACCATGCACAGGTTAGGGTCAAAAATAAACACGTAGCCTTACAAGCAATGAAGTAAAATGGCTTTTGTGTTGTAAATTTACAGGATGTAACCAAATTTTCAAATGTTGCAAAGGGTAGCGCAAATACACAAAACAGAAAATAAACTGTGGCGTGCAAAGTGTGATCATTTAAATCTAGCCGACTAAAGTACTGCATTTCAAAAAGTTAGTGCATGATCTAAAAGTTCCAAAATGTAATAATAAAAATCTATTTTGTGAAACTTGTACCAAATGCAAACATACGAGGGCTATCCAGAAAGTAGATTACGTTTTGGAATAAAAAAATAAACAAAGTATAGGAAACAAATTTTATTATATACAGATGAAAGCCACACTCAAATACTACTTTTCTACATAGTCACCATACAAATTAAGGCATTTATCGTAGCGATGTACGAGCTTGGAAATTCCTTCGTCGAAAAATTCGGCCGCCTGCGTCTTCAACCACTTCTTTACCTCTTTTTGCAGCTGTGCATCGTCATCAAAACGCATTGATTGCAATTTCGTTTCACAGTTCACATGTTTCACCCATGTTTCGTCACCAGTAACGATGCGATCGAGTAAAGAGTCACCATCCTTATGGTAAGCGTCCAAAAAGTTCAACGCTGCAGCCATTCGCTGATTTTTGTGGTCCTCTGTCAAGAATTTGGAATCCATCTTGCACAAAACTTGTGGTAACCAAGCTTTTCGCTGATGATTTCGTGCAACAAACTTCGCGAAATTTGTGGAAAACTCAAGAAGTTCCGTTATTGTGAAATTTCGATTTTCACGGACTTTAGCATCGACTTTTTCGAGAAGTTCGGCGGTCACTATGCTGGGTCTCCCACTTCGATCTTCGTCGTGAACATTGATTCGGCCATTTTGAAATCTTATGACCCCTGACGCACTCCACCTTCAGTGATAATGTTGTCCCCATACACTTCACGAAGCTGCCGATAGATTTCTATCATTTACAGTTTTTTGCAGTCAGAAACCTTATTACTGAGCGCACCTCGCGGGATTTTCAATTAACGCAGACATTTCAAACCGTCACAGTATCTGAACGGAGCACAGCACGAACCTCTCACTAGCACGGCTAGATGCAGACTGAGCTGCGCAACGCTCTGACCCCAAGATGGCCGCGCTAGCCCCGCCCCTAGCGGACACAGACGGAAACGTAATCTACTTCCTGGATGGCCCTCGTACAAGTTTACTATTCCCAAAGGAAATGCACGTAGTAAAACCTGATATTTGAAATTGTACACACCAATATTTGTGGTCCAATGAATGTCACAACTTTAGGTGGTGCAAAATATTTCATAACATTCATCGAAAAGAAATCACAGTTAATTACTGTGTACACCCTACGGAAAAGGTCTGAAGCTCTTAAAGCATTTAAAAAGTACAAATTTTAAGCTGAGAAACAAACGGGGAAGCAACTGAAAATATTCCACAGCGATAATGTGAAAGGAATTTAAAAACAAGGAATTTAATCAATTCTTTGAAAAGGAGGGCATTAAACATCAGTTCTCGGTTGAGTATAGACCACAACAGAACGGAGCTGCAGAATGCGCCAATCATACCCTAGTTGAAATGGCCAGATGTCAGCTGTTCAAATCAAAATGATCCCAAGGATTATGGGCAGAAATGGCATCTACAGCTGCTTACATCTGTAACCAATGTTCTACTAAAATCCGATCAAAAATGCCTTAAGAAATATGGTCTAAAAGGAAGCCTATAGTATTGCATTTCAGGATCACAGGAAGCACAGCTTTTGCATTAACAAATCCAAACAGGAAAAATAAATTTCTCCCAAAAAGTGAAGAATACATTCTCACTGAATATTAAGAGGAAGCAAAAGCATATGGTCTATTGAAAACTGGAGCTAGTGAAGCAACCCAACGTCGTGATGTCAGATTTTTAGAACTGCTGGAAACTGAAGCAAATTCAGAAATATCAATAAGTAACCAAAAGGAATTCATAGAATTTTTTCCTACTTAAAGAAAATTTAGATGGCCAAAAAGAATTCCGAAATGTTAAATGAATGGAGAGCAGATGCTGAAGAAAATGCAATTCAAGGTCAAAACTCAGAAAGAGGACCAGAAAGACCTAAATTCCTGAAAACTGGAAAACAAAGTAGACCAAGAAAAATCTATCTGCAAAACTTCTGAAATGAGGGATCTGGACAAAATAAAACAGTGTTTAGGCATTAACATTGAACAAAATGCAAATGTATCCTTAAGTCAAATTGAGTAGAGAGAAGAACTCTTGGTTAAGTATGTTATGCAAGAATGTAAACATATATAAACAGTGTTAGACCCTAACATTAAACTATGCACACTATCAAATATCATGAAAGAAAATAAAAGTGCAGACAAAAATAAACATCAATCCTTAATTTACTGAGCTGTATCTACACCATCCGATACTGCACATTCTGTTAGCAGACTAAGTCAATTTAACAGCAACCCGAAGTACTTTCACTGGATTCAAGCAAAATGTGTACTACAATACCTTAAATCTATGTTAAATGTGAGATAACTTATCACAAAATAAATGAAAGTTTTAAATGTTATGTAGACACATATTGGGCCAGAAGTACTTTCAAGAGGAAATCATTTAGCAGTTCTGGTTTCATACTAGCATGAAGCCCAATTTCCTGGGAATTATGCAATCGAAGAATTGTAGCGCTATGAAGTACTGAAGCAGAATATATAGTGTTAACTAAATCTTCAAAAGAAGCGATGCACTTGCCATTACTATTAAGAGAGCTAGGTTTTCTGGAGAAGATAGCAGACGAACTGTGTTATATAAAGACAATCAAAGTGCACAGCATTTATGAAAAATTCAGTTCATCACTCTCGAACAAAACCCACTGTTACTCATTTTCATGATATTAGAGAGTTGTATAACAATAAGGAGACTGACATTAAATATGTGTAGGAGACATTAAGTATGTGACATTAAGCAGAAATGCCTGCCGATATTTTAACGAAGCATATTGGCAGAGACAAACATACAAAATGCATGAATTTATTAGGATTTTAACTTTAACTAATGAATGACTTTTTTTGTTTTATTCTCTTTTTCATCTCAGTGAGGCAGAGTGTTAGGAAATTTGCATTCCTTCACTGCAGCTGCGCTCAGCCGAAAAAGGTAAAGTATATAATCTCATGGTAGAATCCAAGGGATGAAGGTGAAGACTGTGCATCCTCCTGATGTGGCCAACAACCATCGATCATTCCAGCGTGGTGTGGCAAAGTATCCCAAACAATTTACTATGACACCAAGTACCTGCCTAACTAAATGATTTGTCAAGCCAACTCAACTTTTGTACCAGTCAAGTAAATTCATCTTTTATTTCTCATACAGTTTTACTGTGTTAATGTCTGACATGATATGGTCATATGTTTTGTTAAACTCAAAGAAAGCACCCATTAAATCTTATGTTTTCAACTTATAACAAGTGTACTTATTCCTTTGGTAAGGAACATGTACTACCCTACTGTGTATCACTCTCAAGAAGTTCAAAAATCAAAAAAATAATTTATTATATAAATGTAAAGGTTTAATTTCAAAAAAAAAAAAAAAAACTATATTACATACTTTTGTTAAAACAACTAACTTACAAAAAACAAACTTATCTAAATATAATACCTTAAATTTTAAATTCTTTGAGACCATAAGAAGTTCACTTCTATTTATATCTACTTGTAAAATAAATTAAGCTGACTGTATAAATATTTTTTATGCAATAAATATAAACTGTATAAATATGTTGAATGCAAAAGGAAGAAAATATCATCTATTGTTAATTTCATTCATTTAAAAAACAGCTTCAGAATTTAAGAAGTGCTGAATATGGGACTATGTCAAACAAATGAATACAGAAGGAGAAAGCAGTCAGAATTTAAAATGTGATCACTAATTAAAAGCTTAACATCACACCTTTTTTTTTCCTTGAGGAGAGAATCAATCTTTCACTGCAACACAGCAAAACGCTTACTGAATGGTTATACATCGAAAATACATTTTACATATGATGATGAATGACAAAAACACTTGAAAATAAATACAAGATTTGGAAATATATCTTTTTAATACATAATAAAACAGCATATATTTATACCATTCAACACTTTACAAAACCTTACACATAATACGAACTATTCATTTACAAACATTCAGGAACAACAAATTATGATTTAAGGGATAGATACATTTTCCCTTTAACATTTCGCTTGACAAGGTCCATTTTCTTCAGTACATCTGCAATTTTTGGAACTAATTGATCAGAACTCAGCTTTGTCTTTTTGCTCTTGAACTTCTGCAAAAGTTCAGATGCAGTCATAGGCTTCCGAGACAAATACCGCCTGATTGCTTCTTCAGTTATGCCATCAAGTGAACTATTAAAAGAGAATATATATTTAGCATTCAAAGTAATAGGTTAACAGAGAATACTCCTCCGGATAAAAGATAATAATATACATACATACATGCTTTCAAGCATTTAAAAGAACACAAACAAATATTTTTGTTTTTGAAGCATAACAAATAAAACATGGAACATGCGAATTATTAAATGATTTGGGGAAAGCTTATGAGTACTATATGATTCATACATTTGTAAGGATCTTTAAATCAAAAATAACTTGTATTCATATTAATCATGCAAAAAATCTAACAACTTTTAGATGAAGAGACAAATTATTAGTGTTTAACAGTCCTGCCCACTTGCCATTGATGGCCACAAGAGAGAGAGGTCTTTCTTGATAGAAGTAGCAGTTTTGTTACAGATAGCATATGAATTTAATAGAAAACGTTTCATTCATTAATTTAAATAGAAAATGGAACCTATAAAGCTGTCAAAAATTGTCATAACAATAGCATGAGCTGCATCAGTCACAACAATTAAAAATCATCTACTTTGTAAAATTTTTCAACAGAAGTAAGAAATGAAAATTGAAAATAAATAATCGATGAAACGAAAGAAAAACTCATAAATTTCTTTAAAATATAATCACTAAGGAATTAAAATCAGATAATTTTAGCACATAGCTTAAGCTTTCCAATCATAAAGCCACTTACGTTCCTTCATGAATGCTATTTGTATCTAAAATTACAGGAAGTTATTTGGGTAGTTTAAAAATGAGAACTAATATCCTTGAAAAAATATTATTTTTACCTCACAAAAGTAGTAGTTCCACCATGATTATCTGTCTTGGCTTTCTTAGCAGATGGAACTGATGTATCTGTGAGCTTTCGTTTGGATGCTTTATGCCCTAAAAACAAATTAATCAGTTATTTATTATAAAGATACTGCAAAGATTAATAACTTTATTATCTTAAATAATATCAATTCTTAGAAATTTTTTAAAGTCCTAAAATAGTCACAGATATTAAAAAATTAAATAAATCTAAAATTAGACCTCATAGTATCAATAATAGAACTAATGATTCATATATTGATTGTATTTCTTGGTGTAGAATTCAAACTACCATAAATCTATTTCTGTTTGCATGCTTCTCCATGCAAAATCATGTCACTCTGCCAACTAAACAACAGTACATTTTTATTATTACAAATAATGTGCTCCCAAAATTTGCTTTTCAGAAAACTTGCTGTCTAAGAAACTAATTATTTGAAATCAGTTTCCATTCAGAGATGATCAGAATTCCTTCAGAGAGGTTTCCTCCACAGACAGCGATGAAACCTTTAAAAATGTTCCTCTTCTATCATAAATGATCTTCAGTTATTGAAAATAATCCTAACAATTTTGTCTTCATAAGGTTTTATCTCTCTTTCAGTTACAAAATTGCTTGGATTTTCCCCAATGTCAATTTTCAGTTTTTCTACCTCCCCCCAAACCATCAATAAATTTGTTGTTCAGTTCTTAAAGATTCCATCCCAGATTTTAATTCTTGTGGAATTTTAGCTTTATGGTTCCTCATGTACCTTGTGGAATTTAAGCTTAATGCATTCTGTCATGTTAATGCAGTTTAACATACTTATATTGGGCCAAACTGAAACAGTGTTAAAACTTCTCTTCCGGGAACACGAATTGTATGTTCAAAAAGAAGAAATAAACAAAATTTTGTTAGCTAATCACAATTGAACACTTAATCATAAATTGTACTTTTGATCTACAAAAATTACCTATAAACTTCTTCATTTCATAAGTTGGATTTATTTGAAACTTTCCACAATAACAGATATTTTTTTCCCTAGTTAATGACGTTAATTTTTTAACACTTTCAAAATTTAATATCTTAGTGTTTTCATGTTTCATTTCTATTTTCCTCAACAGACTGCATTTGCTTTCACTTTGCTCCACTCATTTCTTTCCATATAAAAGCTTTTCGTTCTTATATCCGATTAGCTCTTGAAATTGATTTAAAAAAAAATGGATAATTGTACTGTTGTTTTAAAAATTATCTAGCTTCAGGCAATCCCAGCTGAGTTTTTTCCATCAAACAATTCAGTTTGCAGTCAGTATATCAATCAGTATTGTTTTAAAAAGGTTTTCTTTCTGAAAAGGGTTTACTCCAGAAATGACAAAGCAATAGAACACTGATATAATCTGCACAGTGCATCTCTTAGTGCACAGAATGTTGTGTCCCAAGTAAACATCTGCCAACTTATTTTCTAAAAGAAATCTAAAAGAGTCTTATCAATACTGTTATCTCAAGACTTACATTTAAGGGTGCTAGAGAATAACTTACAATTTGTAGACGTTTTTTTTTTTTTTTTTTTTTTTTGTAAAGCAAATAAAAATTCAGAGACATTTTTCAGCATCAACTCTATCACACTGCATGTTTAAATAAAACATAAACTGCAATAGATTTTAAAAATGAATTACAGTATTCTTTTGATATTCTGACAATAAAAAGTGAGTGAAAATTACATCACTGCCTTTAATTTCTACTCCCCTTTAAAGAGTAATGAATAATGTTTTCTGATAAAGACTATTGTCAATCAGAAATTCAGAAAGTGAATAACGTCTGCACGTAGAAAACTGCATCAAACTTTTTGGATAAAAAGTGTGGCTATTATAATACAAACATACACAACGTTTCAGTTATGCACCAAAATAACAATGAATAAAACTAAAGCCCAACAGTATATATGGGAAAATAAAGACAGTAATGAAATTTTCTCTGAGCCCAGCCCCAGTGTTTTTGATGAGAAAACTATCTGGCCATCTATTGCACTAGACTAGAAATCTTTTTCATTACACAGCATACATTAAACAATACTTAGCAATTGAATAATCCATTTTAATACATGACTTATTTGTATCTTTACTTGCTTGCTTACATAAAATTCATATTCTAGCAAAATCTATTACAACAATTAACAATCCATATTAATAAAAATTTTAATTTTTTCATAAATTCACAAAAAAATGTAAAACAAATGCATTTTAGAGCGGATTTTTAGAGCTGCAGTAAAGAGGTATTAAACAGCCCTGCAAGAAATAAAAAATTATATATATATATATATATGCAGTCATAATTTTATAACATATGTTCATGCCAGAGAATACAGAACCCTTTTTTTTTTTTTTTTTTTCTTTTTTTTTTTAAAATCTTAAGTCTTTGAATTGAGGAATGAGTTATTTATCTAGTCAAAAATTTAAATCTACTTTTAGAAGGTTTTCTGATGTAAAATATAACACTGTACTCATATTTCATAAAGCAACTCCACAAATAAAATTTAAAAAGCTATATATATATATATACACTGGTGTGCAAAAATTAAGGACGAAGTCGAAAAATTAGCATTATCAGCTGAACAAAGAGGCAGAGTGGACAGAAAGACCAATCAGGAGATTAAGTAGGTGTCGGTAGCACTGCGCAGATATGCAGGTAGACGTAATGGGGGAGTATCTGAGTAGTATAAAGCATGGTTGTCGGTGTAAGATCAGTATTTCTGGCAAAGAGATAGCACGCCGTATAAGCAGTTAAAATCACACCGAGTTGCTGCCTCAGTGAGAAATGGGAATAATCAATCTGTTAGACGACATCTGGATGCTTTTACCCGAGGTCGAATCATTGGGAAGTTGGAGGAAGGCCGCAGTGTACAAGTGTGGCTGCAGAGTTCGGAATTGCTCACAGCATCGTTTCACGACTTTGGAGACAATTTCAAACTACAGGAACAGCTATCCGGGGGTTTAGTAGTGGTCGTCCACGAGAAACCACACCCGCAGATGACCGGTATATTGCCTTACAGGGCAGAAGAAACAGACGGCAGACGGCGGGAGAAATCGCTAGACACACGACACAGGCGACTGGATGACCGATATCGCATTTTACCGTGGCCAGATGACTGCACGGTGGTGGTCTGTTTGTACGACGCCCTGTACGGTGTGTACCTCTAACGCCTGCCCATCAGAGAAGGCGTTCTCTGTGGTGCCAGGAACACCGGAATTGGAGAGACAATGAATGGGGACGAGTACTCTTTACAGATGAGAGCAGATTCAGTCTGAGTAGCGATTCTCATCGCAAAACTAATCTGGAGAGAGCGGGGAAGCCACAATCATCCCTCGAACATCATTGAAAGGGACAGGTATGGAGGTGGCGGTGTTCTCGTTTGGGGAGGCATCATGCTTGGTAGTCGTACAGACCTTCACATCTACGACGTAGGTTCAGTCAACGGGACCCGTTATTGTAACGAGATTCTTCTTCGATATGTGCATCCTTTTAGAGGCGCTATGGGTCCGCAGTTCCTTTTCATGGACGACAATGCACCATGTCATCGCACAGTAGCTGCCGAACAGCTCTTAGAGAGTGAGGATATTGAATGTATGGATTGGCCGGGACAATCTCCAGATCTCAATCCCATCGAGCATGTATGGGATTTTCTAGGCAGACGCTTGGCAGCTCGTACCTTACCACCAGTAACGATTCCGGAGCTTCGATTGGCGCTGCAAGACGAATGGGCAGCAATGCCTCAACAACTCATTGACACCCTCATTCTCAGCATGGGCAGATGCTGTGAAACCTGCCTAGCAGTCAGGAGAGATCATATCCCCTATTAAAGACCGGATGTTTCTTGCTGGACACCCATCACAGGGATGTTTCGGGCTTCAGTCGCATTACGCTCCATGCTACTTTTTCAATAAAGCTTCTTTTTATCCCTCTGATTTCTCTTTTAGTAAGTGCTGCTTACATTACTCATGTCCTTACGTATTGGGGATCTTACAGTATTAAATATGTTTATTTGGAAAGCTTTTGTACAAAGTTATATTGAAAAAACCGTCTCGTCCTTAATTTTTGCACACCAGTGTATATATAAAAGAAGAAACATTACACTATAGTTAATACAACTGGAGAACACTACAGAATTCTTGAAAAGAAAAAAAAAAAAAAATATTTCAAAGACAAGAATATTTTGTTCACTAATTTGCTTCATAAAACACAGCTTCAAGGAATATAAGGATATACAGTCAAAAGTCTTTAATCCGGACGTCCATAATCCGGAAGGATCTATAATCCGGACTTCAAAGCTACAAACTTTCTGCACATGCGCATAATACATTTATGCATGCACATATGCGTCTATGCATGCGCATAATGCATTTACACATGCATGTTTAATGTATAACGTACAGTATAAGCTAAGCTAAAATTATCTAATTATCTATTTCAGTTAATGTTGCAGATTGCATTGTTCCTTAATCTTCTAATTGGATCTGGCTTATTATTTTTTGCGGACTGTTAAAGCAATTTTATAAAAGTAAGCTTGAACTTTCGATTATGTCAAAAAGAATTTCCGATTCTGGAGCTACCAAAGGATCTACAAAACATGTTTCAGGGGTAAAATATTGAAAAACAGATTCTTATTGTATTAGAAACATTTAATAAATATAAAGAAAATAGAGATTAGACTCATCTTTTTCACTCATTAGTGCCAACTATATGTTTTCTGCAAGTTCCCTAAAAATTTGGGCCTCACCGCAACATAAATTTTTCAATAAGCTAACCATTTGGAATCCTGTAAGTTTTTCTTTGAAGTAACTAAACTGGCTGGTTCCTTCATGAGATATTCATCAAAGGGAATATTTTTTTTTTTTTTTTTTTTTTTTTTAAATCTAGTTTTATCAGTTGGCAGTTTCTTCTTTTTTGGATGTGTTGTTTCATGGAATATTTGACTGCATTGCCACTCACTGAGAATCACAATCTCTTTTAGTATTCTGATGATCATATTTGATAATTTGGTGTCCTGTGCTTTTTCTAATTTCGATCTTTATCAAGAACGAGCTTCTTTTATACTTTCCTTATAATTTCCTGTAAATAACAGAAAATTTACTTGGCATAATTAGGACACTAAAATCTCTTATCAAGAAGGAAGATGGAGGCCCACCAGCAGCCGAGCGGTAAAGTCGCTGAACAATGGTAGTTCAGCGATTTTACCGCTTCAGCGAGGTTTGAATCCCGCGAATGGGCTGGCTGCATGGGCGTTTTCAAGGTTTTCCCCATGTGTAATGTGTATATGAGCCAGTTTTCCTTAGAAAGTCCTCCACGAAGGCATCCCTCCCCTTAGGCAGATAGCCCTCGAGGCTTTGCCATAATCACACACACAAAAAGGAAAATGAAATTATACATTCGAAATTCGTTGGCACAAAACATAGATTATATTACTATGTGGGCAGTGATACATTCTGCATTTACAGAATGACCACAGATTTATTAATACATTCATTTTTCAGAAGAAAGTGAATTTCTTTATTATAGCTGTCCAACCTCTGCCTCTTCATTTCCAAGCTGAGAGTGATTTATGAGACTCAGTTTTTAAACATTACAAATATTTTAGCAAATCGAATATCCTTTTTCTCTTAATTACAGAAAAGTAAATAAAAACTGCATGTGCAATACATGCAGCTCTAAAAATTATGACAGAATAATGATACTACAGGCATCTTATAAACAAATTGGCTATTTTCAGAGATGGACAACAAGAATGTTTATGGACAAGTAGCACAATTTTGTCTGTATTTTAGGCTAAAAGGTTTATAGCTTTTAAAATTCCGGATTAAAGACTTTTGACTGTATTTACATGACAATTTTTTTAGTTAAATACTGATTTAAAGAAATGATTGAAAATAAGCACCCTAGTCAAAATGCATTTACATCTACACATATCTTTTATAAAAAGAAATATAAGAATATATTTACATAACAATTTTATTAGTTAAATACCGTGAAATTAAAGAAATGATTGAACATAAGAACACTAGTCAAAATGCATTTACATGTACACATATCTTTTATAAAAGAAAAAGATACTTTGGCAACACCAAAATTCCAAATAAAAAATGCACTATATTTAAGCAGAAAATTGCCTGAAGATTTTATAAGTTTATTTAAAAAAATAATTACAGATTTTTCAGTGCTTACCATCTTTTCCTTCGGCATTTAACCTCGTTGGGGTGTTGGCTCTACTGCTACTAGCACTGTTATCAGAGCCATTCTTTTTCGATTGTTTCTAAACAGCAAATTAAAAAAGGAAATCCAACACTGGAAATTAGAAAAATGTGCTGAAAATGCATGAGTGTATAACTCATAATTTTCAACATACATTTGCGAAAGTTTGTAAAAGTACTGAATTTAAATTATAGAGCTTTATTAATTTTTAAATTTCCATGAAATAAAAATTTAAAAGTATAACAACGCATTGAATATTAGTAACAGATTTACATTATAACTAATTTGATACACAGAAAATGTTTTTAAAAACTCACCTGCATAAAAACTGCATGAGTTTTTTTCTCATCAAAATCTGAATCTGATGTATCTGATGATGAATCACCAGATGAATCTGAAATATAAAAATTATCATAAATAATTTGAGTGATAAATCAGTTGAACTGAACATATCATTGCGAAATAAATATAAAGCTTAGATACAGTACACAATCCTCAACCCAGAAATGCAATATCTGAACCACCAGCCAAAAAATATATAAATAAATAAAATAATAATAATAACAATAATAATAAAAAAAAAATCCCTTCCTGCTTGCAAATTAATAATAATAACAATAATAATAAAAAAATCCCTTCCTGCTTGCAAATTCTAGAAATGGTTAATATTCCCCTCCCCCAATGGCGGGCTCTCAGCAGACTTCAGCTTGGCCACAACTAAGGCCAGAAGTGGTGGTCACTTTATTATCAAGGAACCTAATAGATGGGCCACTTTTGCCTCCCATGATGGAACAGACAGTTACAGTATGCCTTCTCCAGGACGCGAACCCGGACCCTTTGGTATCACAATCAGCTCCCCTAACCACTATACCGTTTGAGCAGCAGAAAGATAAATATAATACTCAAAAGAAGCAGCTGTGCCCTAAATATGATTTTTATCCTGACTAATTGAGATTCCTACAAGTCACATTCAAGTCACTGCTGACTAGGAAGTCCGAAGTGGCAAATGATAATACATTGATTGATGCTGACACACTTTTGGTGTCTAAGTAGTTCTGTATGTGTGTGGAAGGGGGGCATTTTTATATCTGACTTAACATAAAGCCCAAATGATGGAATTTTTACATCTCTTCTTTTTAGATTTAAACTAATGACCTAAATTCCAGAACTGCAGAAGTCCTGCCAATTCTTGTGTAATGTGTATATACAAGGCAGTTTTTCTTACAAAGTCCTTCATGAAGGCATTGGTCCCTTTAGGCAGATAGTCCTCGAGTGCTTTGCCATAATTAAACCAAACCTGACAATTCTGGATCTCTGATTTCATACTGCACTTGCTTGGTGTTAGCATCAATAAATATATTTGATACTACCAGGTAAACAAGAAAGTTCGTGCATTTTTTTAGAACAGTTACTTTTGGCATGTTAGTACGGACAAATTCATTCTGATGACACGATGTTTAGATTCCTTTCAAACCTTATTCAATAGAGTTATTCAGTGTATCAAATGTTTTGCTATCAGTATTATAGGAAGCACTGTCTTCAAAAGAACATGTCACTAGAAACAAATTAGGAAACAAAGTTGCAGAGGTCGCTCTAAGAATATGCTCTGCATTTGGAGATATATCAGTGTATGAACGAGCTGCTAAGAAGATATTCAGCCAATTTCCTTCTGGAGAAAAGAGCCTTGAAGACAGGTCTTGTGTTGGTCATCAATCCACTCTCAAAAAGTCCAGCTAGAGTAGGAAATTAAGCAGAATCCTTATCAAACCTGCTAAGAGCTTACACACAGGTTTGGAGTATTTGCACGAAACCATTCAATCACATCTTCCTAACCTTGATATGACATGGAAACTAAGAAAGTGGGTTCCTCATGTCCTGCCAGATGAAAACAAGTTCCAATCGTTGAACACCTGCTTGTCATAGCTATCATGCCAGAACAAAGCTTCATTCCTGGACTATATCTTGTTATGTGATGAAAAACAGATCATGTATTATAACCAGAAGAGGAAACAGAAGAGGAATGGTCAGCTTGTAGTTTGATCTCATTGGCCGTTAAGCAGATATTCACCAAAAGAAGGTAATGTTGTGTGTTTGGTGGGACAGCGATGACATAGTTCCCTATAAATACTTAGAAAGCCATAAAACCATAACAGCCGAGGTCTACTTGTCACAACTGAAAAGGGTTTTAGCTGCACTGGTCTAGAAGCAGCCAGCACTAATCAACAGAAAAGGAGTTCACCTCCTCCACGATTATGCCAGATCTCATACGGCAAAAGCAACCAAAGATGTAATCAAAACACTGGGCTGGGAAGTACTGCCTCAGCCACCCTATTCCTTGGCATCGCTCCAACGGACTATTACCTCTTTTTGGCCATGGATTACCAACAGCAGGAACAGCAAATCTGAAAATGTGCAGATGTCAAAAAGTACACATTTTTTGACTCGATAAAAAAGGCTTTTTTTTAAAAGGACATTTATAAGCTTGTGTGTTGTTGGGAGCAATGTAATTGAAGCTAACAGTGATTGTTCTGAAGAATAAACTGGGTGTTTAAAATTTTTGTGAGCTGTTTTTGATGAGTGATAAAAACTGCATGAACTTTTTTGGTTACCTGATATATACTTTGTTACAATCTACATTTATTGAATTATTTTTATTTATAATTTACTGAATTACTTATAAATAATTTACAAAATTTTATTGGAACAACACTTACTGAAATAGGAACAAACTAACATGTATTGATATGGAACTTCTAATAAATGTCTTTCTAGCCTTACATAGAAGAATATTTATAATAAACACATATAAACAAAATAACACAAAACATTTGTAATATAATTATAAATGCAATCATTTTATGCTAAACATGCAAAAAATATATTTAAATTATTATAGTTCATAACAAACCACCTTTTTCTTCTTTCTTTTGTTTTTTTGTTTTCTGCACTTCAGGAGATTTTTCTTGCTCAGGATTTTCTTCTGTTTCCTTATTTTCTTCATTTTCTTCTTCATCTTCGGATGCATCAAGTTTTCGAAGTGCCTCTTCATCCTCAACACCTTTCAATTCACGATTAATTTTCTCATCTTCTAACTCTGCTTCAGAGCTGTAAAGTAAAAACTTTCATTTTTGAAGATTGAAACAGAGTACATATATTTTATTTAGTTACATTAACCACTGTTTAAAAAAATTACTACTTGAAATTTTATTTATAAATTGATCATAATTCATACAAAATGGAAAATTTTATTAAACACACATTATTAAGACACAATAACACGCCAAACAAATACTAATTCAGAAGTCAAACAACAAAAATCAGCATTATATTTTCAAAATTTTCACAGAATTTTATTGGCTGTGAAACTGTGAAAATTTTGAAAATATAATGCTGATTTTTGTTGTTTTACTTCTGAATTAGTCACACTTTATTAATTAACAATAAAATTTCTTTATCAATATAATGATAACAGATTAAAAATTTGCTAGCTATCAATTTAAATATGCCAATAAAACTTCTCAAATCATCTGAAAATGCAAATTTTAAGGATGAAGGTTAGGTACGTGTGAAATTTTGAATACATAAAGTTTATTTTAACACTAATGACATTGGGATTATTTTAACAAAGGCTATTATTTACTAGTCAAAATTTATTTAACCAGAATCTCACTATCAAAAGTCTTAACAGTTAGTACAACTGCCAACTTTGAAATCTTTAAAATCACAAGATATGCCAGGAAAACAGGAGGTTGTCACGCTGCATGGTGACAAAATTTCAAAGGAACTCGAAACTGACATTATCTCATTTTATAATGGATGGTTCTGGTATCGAACTACTTGTAGTTATATTGTGATGTAAAATATAACCGCCATTTGATTAGCTATTCTAAATTTTATGTTCTATGGCTAATTTATTTTTTTAAATTTACTTACACTTTTATACTGAAAAAAATCCAGAGTAACGAAAGAAATATTTATCAAAGTACATTTAAATACAATGAAAATAAAATAAATAAATAATGTACACTGCACACACACACACACAAAAAGGAGGTACAGTTCTATATATCCTGTTCTACTGGGCCAACTGATGAAATTCAAATTGTGTTTTTCATGTCTCGAAAGCACGACAGGAAACAAAGAATATGCCTTTATCCATTTTTTTTTGCAGCAATTCCAGTTTTTGTTTGATGGACATCGAAACATGCTTTCACTTTTTAGATCCTTTGGCAGCTCCAGAATCGGAAATTCTTTTTTGACATAATCGAAAGTTCAAGCTTACTTTTATAAAATTGCTCTAACAGTCCGCAAAAAATAATAAGCCGGATCCAATTAGAAGATTAAGGAACAATGCAATCTGCAACATTAACTGAAATAGATAATTTTAGCTTAGCTTATACAGGGTTCGTACACATTTCTGCACATGGAAATTAAGTACTTTTAAGAACCATTAATGAAAAAAATCTGATATGTACACCACATGACTTCCTTGTACGGAATATTAAATTATACACATTTTTTCTTGCATTTCATTTAAACTTATTAGATTAAATTAAACCTACTTCGCCGACAGCACATAAACCACAATAGAATAAATGCATTCTTTAAAATTCACTTTTGTTTACCACAGCGACACTCTGGCATTAGGTTTACTTAACAGTATTATGTTTCGTTCATATTATAACTCAGAATGCACAAAATTTATATCATTTAAAGAATTATCTAACCGTTGCCACATGCTCTATTCAAATATTATAATAAAGCTAGAACTATGTATAAAAGAAATTAAGCAAACAAAACAAAAAAAGAAACAGTTTTTCACAGACGATTGAGTATTTCTCATTCAATTAATTCAGTTTTCACTTTGCGACAAGGCAAAAATGCATAAAAAGTCAAAATATCTGTATTAAAAATTACGAAGTAAACCTTAAACGCTTATTTCCTCGAAAAAATGCAAGAAAGGATTAAGCATGATTTAAATAATAAATGAAGGCGTTATCTTTGTTGTTGCGAAGCTGTTTCTCTAGATTGGTAACAAATCTGCTACTCAGCTGTTTCAAATGTAAACAAGAGCAATGGCCGCCGTCAAATTAGGCTTAGCGGCACTTAAACAATTTTAAATTATTGATAATTCTAAAAATATTGCATACAGATTTACTAAAGGCATAAAACCCTTAACCGGAAGATAAAAACAACATACTTCAATCATTTTTAAAACAAAAAATGTACAATTTACAAACATATAAGACTAAAGAAACTGAGATCACTGATCTGGGTAACAGAGTGGATATATTTATAAATATATTTATATACGTTTGGCGCAGCCGATTGAAACCAAAATATGAGGTGCACATCTATATGTTATAGGTTATAGTAGTCTTATATACAAAATTTCAAAATTCTGAGGCTACTCGTTTTTGAGTTATGCGAGATACGTATGTACATACGTTCGTACAGACGCCACGAAAAATTCTCTTCAGAATTCATTTTAAAGGAGTTTTTTAGTTTTTTTGGAGGAAAATAGCCTTTAATTCTCTCCTTACGTACAGATATCACGCAAAAACATCGTTAAATTGCATTCGAAAGTGGTCAAAGTGGATATTTTCGTTGAAATATGCTGCCTGAAGCTTTTCGCGATTACAATATTTCCTTTTTACTTCGTACAAGGAAGTAAAAATTAGGGACCTATGAGCAAATGAGAACTGAATAAATTCAATTAAAAATATTATTTAAGCCTGAATTTCACTTTTGTAACATCATCCTAAAAATAAAATAGATCCCTAAGTAGTATGCAGTATTACTAAACATGAATTAATGAACATAATTATTTAATAAGTTTTGAGAATAAAACAAACTTTATGCAATTTATCAAGTAGCATTAAATATCTTATAATAGTTGGTCATATTTGAAAGAAGATAAGTGGCATTTACGTTTTACTAACAGTTAGCTTTATGTTGGTTTTTTTAATGTCTCATTTTGTTACATACTTGGTCAGTCTAGAGGTTTAGTAGCAGGTAGATTTTATGTCAAATGGCATAGGTTAAAATCATAAGTAAGATCATTATCAGCATGATTCAGAACAAAAGACTGAATGTTGTCACTCTGCTGCTTGTCTAGAGAGAGATCTGCTGATTAGAACAAAGCTGAAAGGCCTGACGTAGGCATGGTTGGCAAGTGTTAAAAGTTAGTCAGGCTCCGCTTGATGCAGTTAGTGTCGTAGCTTCATGTAGAGTTCGAGGGTTTGTAACCCAGTTAATATACTTTAAGGTTCCAATAAGGCATTAAAGCATCAGAGGTGATTAGTTGTTTTCTATTATTTTAAGTCTCAGTAGATGCAAAGAATAAGTTTTACTTGAATTTGTTATATTTTCGTATTTTATCTTGTGACCAGAATGAGTATTATTGAAAGGCAATAACTTGCTTTAAGATGTAGAGATAATTTTTAAGAGTATGCAGTTAGTTATAAATAATTAAATTAAGTATTTGATAATCTTGGTCATTATGGATTTACATGACACTATTAAATTTTATTTTTTAACAATATTTGTTAAAAAAGCCCTATTAAAATCAAAATCTAATAAAATTTCACAGTTTAAAATACATGTAATTTATGACATTGATTCTTAAACAATATTAGAATAATTACACATTAAAAGCTACAAAACATTTATGTTTTGTAACTACAACACTCAATAAAATATTTATCCGTCATTTTAATTCGAAGCCTTCCCAGACATTTTGGCTAGTTTATATCAATTTCCTTCTCTTTTTAAGTATTTTTTCTAACAATTACAGATTTGTCTCAATGTGCAAACCAATGCTCTCGCTAGTTTCTGTGTGCTTTATCTACTAACTTGTCAACCTCCCTACAATGTACCTATGAGGGTTTACTTGATCTGGTAAAAGTTAATAGTCCAAAACCTCTGACAGACGTGAAGCATATTATCGCTATGTCTGAAAAAACCTATAATATCAGACAAAGGTTTAAATAAGCTTCTTAGTTAAAAAGAACTTAGAACATAAAGGTATGTTCTGATACTAACAAAATCAATTACAGCTCCCGGTGACGTAATTAAACAAGATCAGTCAAATTCAAACTAAAAGTGTGCAGTCAAAGATTATAAAATTTAATTTTAATTTAATCTGGCTCAGTAACTCTATCATATGAGGAAACAGAAATGGGACATTATAGTAATCATAAACAATTGAGTAATTTACATAATAACTGCACATATCTTTGAAGAATAATTTCTTCATATACTCAAATTCTTTCTTAAACATGTTTCCTTTTTATTTTAGAATTTTTGGATTTAATTAAGAATTTCTGTTATTCTAAAAAACACTAAATGCATTTAGAATGTTCAGAAAATGCGACTAATTTTATTTTAGCAATATGAACACTCAGAAGAAATATGAAATATATATGATAAAGGCTGGTTACAGAGATAACGCGGCAGAATTTTTAGAATTTAGTGACACACCGAACAACAAAATCTAGAAATGGCAAAACTTTTAGAATTTAGAGCAGGCATATGAAGCAAATTTTAGAAAGGCACTAGACAGCAGAATTTAGGATCCACATAGATTGCATCAGGTGGGAGATGCCTAGTGCCAGCTATGTGTATGATGCATTAAGACATTATTAGATGACTGTTTTAAATTATAGGTTTTCAATTACTTTATTAATAAAAAAAATCCCTTTCTATAATGCCTGCCCATGTGATAAGATTACAAGCATTTTTGATATTTTCCATGCTTGTGTCTAGTAAAAAGTAGAGAAAATAAAGGGAAGATTAACATGTTAAGATTCTAGTATCGGAAGTAAAACATTCAAATATTATCTTTTCATTGTTCTTCCAGATGTTCTCTCAAAAGTAAGAAATTCATTGCAAACTTTCTATAAAATACATCCATTACGTGTCGATACCATGGAAACATTTTTCATTTTGTCACATATTTCTCGAATCTTCTAAAATCGTGGCTCTATAAATCTTGCCTTCAAATCCTTCTAAACTTTCAAGTTGCAATGTCTAAAATATTCAAGAAAAATTATCGGTACCAATTCTGTAACAGCAAAAAGGCAGAAATATTTTTGGGGGGGGGGAAAGAAAAAGAGAGGGAAAAAGTCCTCTCTATAAA